CTACTACTGCAATACTACTACTAAATACTACTACTACCACTACTACTACTACTACTACTACTACTACTACTACTACTACTACTACTACTACTACTACTACTACTAGCACTACTACTACTACTACTACTACTTACTAGCACTGCTACTTACTACTACTACTACTACTACTACTACTACTACTACTTATACGACTTACTACTACTACTACTACTACTTCGACTACTACTACTACTACTGCTACTACTACTACTACTACTACTACTACTACTGCTACTACTACTACTACTACTACCACTACCACTACTACTACTACTACTACTACTACTACTACTACTACTACTACTACTACGACTACTACTACTACTACTTCTATCACTACTACTACCACACGTCCTATTGCTCCTCCTCCTCTTCCTCCTCCTGCTCCTCCTCCTACTCCTCCTCCTCCTCTGCCAGATGCACAAGAAGACCAATTACTGGTCGCGGAAATGCCCATATGTGCATAGCATGTTCCTGGCGCGTCTTTCTGCGGGCGCATGCCAACGTGCGTCTGTGTAAGAGGGAGTCACTCGCTCGAGACACTGCCGCAGTCTGGAATTCTAAGTGCGGGTGAGTCGCTAGTCTGAGTGCGTGTGAGTCTGAGTGTAAGCGAATCTGAACGCGAGTGAGCCTGAATTTGGGTGGGTCTGAGTGTGAGTAAGTCCGAGCGTAAGCAAGTCTGAGTGTGAGTGTGCCTGAGTGTGAGTGGGTCTGAGGCCGAGTGACTCTGCGTGCGACTGAGGTCTGAGTTTTAACCGGCACGATGGGCCTGAGCGTGAGTGAGTCTGAGTGTGAGTCTGCGTGTAAGTGAGTCTGAGTATGAGTGAGCCTGAGTGTAATTCTGGGTGTCTGGGTGTGAGCGAGTCTGATTATGAGTGAGTTCGGATTTGTGTGAGCCTCGGTGTGAGTGAATATGACTATATGCGTGCGTGTGTATGAATGAGGAAGAAGAGGGGGAGGAGTGGGGGTGAGGCGGAGGCGTCTAAGTAAAACCTCCTCTGGCGGCTCCTCCTGAGGATGCTGAAACAAGCTCCTCATTCGAGACATCCTCTCAATCTGCCTGATCGCACATCCTCCCTCCCCGTCCTCCTCCTGTTCTGTCATCATCCGCCCTCCTCGTCCATATTCCTCCTCCTCCCCCGCTTCCTACTGCGAGCGCCTCGCACATCCTCACGCGTTGTTATGAACGCAGCGCCTCGGCTCGCTCGAGACATCCTCACAGTCTGCTTCGAAAGCACACAAATCAAAGCCACCAAAGAATCAAACTGCTCGAGACATCCCCACAGACTGGGCGCAAAACCCCTGGCGGCTCCCCTGTGGGACGCCCAACCCAAATGCCGCGCCTGCTCTACCGCGGTAAGCATTGGACCACCAAAAGAGAACAGTCCCGGGGGCAGAAGCAGGCAAACTGCCGGAGACATCCCCACAATCAGGGCTCGAATCCCGGAGTGTCCCATCCCATGGCGGCTCCACCTCTGGGGTGCCCACACACAACGCCTGCGATATCGCGGTGGGCACTGGACCGCCAGAAAATAAAAATAAGTCTGGGGGCCGAAAGACAAGCGAACCACCCGAGGCATCCCCACAATCTGAGCGCGAGCGGGCGCTCATGGCGCTTCCCCCTTGGGAGCGCTGGTGCCATCGCCTCCCGTGGGACATCCTCACATTCTGCTTCGAAAGCACCAGACGCTGGGGGGTAGAAACAAGCAAACCGCCTGAGACGTCCCCACCATCTGGGCGCGAGCTCTGGCACGTCCTCAGCCCTGGCGAGTGCCTGTTGGGAGTGCTGCAACCAGCGTTTCGCGTGAGACATCCTCAAAGTCTGCTCCGAAAGCTGAATACGTCGGGGGGGCAGAAACAAGCGAACCGCCTGACACATCCCCACAATCCGGGCGCGAGTTTTACCATGTTTCCGCCCCTGGCGACACCCCCCCTTGGGAGTGCTGAAACCAGCGCCTCACGTGGAACATCCTCACAAACTATTCCACAAGCATCTGGTGTTTAGGGGGCAAGAACAAGCAAACCGCGCGAAAAGTCCCCACAAACTGAATGCGAGTTTGGGAATGTCCCCACCCCTGGCCTTTCCAACTTGTTAGGAGTGCTGAAACCAGCGCCTCGCCTGCAACATCCACACCATATTGACCGAAAGCAGAAAAATGCTGAAAGGCATAAACGAACAAACCACCTGAAAAATCCAACCATATGGGCACGAGATTTACAACGTCCCCACCCTTGGCGGCTGCCCCTTGGGAGTGCTGACACCAACGCCTTGATTGGAACATCCTCACAGACTGTGTGTGAACGATTATGCATCTGAAACAGCACGAATTGCGAAATCACGCCAGTGAGCCTGAGTGAACGTAAAACCGACTGCGTCTGAGTGAGGAAGTGATGCGGTTGAGTCTGCGTTGGGAAAAACGAGTATGTGATGGACCCCGTGATACGCGTGAGTGATAGGAGTACGAGCATATGAATGACATCGTGAGAAGCAGGAAGGTTCGGAGGCGGCTAAATACTAGCAAGAACCCATATGGTGAAGCGAGATGCGGTGGTGAAAGGACCAATCTGCTGTGAAAGAATTGAAAACTTATCTGGCAGCGAATAGAGAGAGAGAGATGATAAAGAGAGAGAGAGAGAGAAAAAAAAAAAAAAAAAAAAAAAGGAACAAGAGGGCATGCGATACTAAAATTATGGTCGATACCCGACCAGCTTTGCTCCCCAGAGCCAAAGTCGCACGGAACTGCTTTTAAGATTGCTGGTAACAAGCACCACGTGCGCTGATGCCACCACTGGCCAAAACACTGGTGGAAGCCCGGCTTGGCTCCAGGTGCCCTGTGAGGCCGTTGTCCTCGACCTCCTCCCTCCACCCTCCTCCTCCTCCCTACAACATCCTCCTCCTCTCGTCCACCTCCTTCTCCCCCTCCTCCTCCTCCTCCTCCTCCTCCTCCTCCTCCTCCTCCTCATGCTGCTCCTCCTCATCCTCCTGCTCCTCCTCCTCCTCATCCTCCTCCTTCTCCTACTCCTCCTCTTCCTCCTCCTCCTCGTCCTCCTCCTCCTCCTCCTCCTCCTGCTTCTCCTCCTCACACCCACTGTTCCGTCACCACTCCATCCCTCAAACTCAGACTGGACAATTGTTCCATCACCACTCCATCCCTCCAATTCAGACCGAACGATCGGGTCCTCCGGTCAAGCCGTCGCTCTTCCCAGCCTCCGCCGCGACGCGCGCGGCCGCGTGGCGGCGCCGGCCGTGCGGCATGGCTCGGCCTTGCGCGGCGGACGAGTGGCAGGCCTGGCGTAGTAGGTTCGCGTCAAAGAGCCCCACCCCTTGAGAGACCGCGCGCGCGTGCGTGCAGGTCTCCTCGTCCTTCTCCCCCCACCACTTCACTGGCTCTTGGGGGCCCCGTCCACTTCCGCTTCCTCCTTCACTTCCGCTTGCCCCCTCCACTTCCGCTTCCTCCTTCTCCTCCTCCTCCTCCTCCTCCTCCTCCTCCTCCTCCCCCTCCTCGTTTCCTTCCCCCCCCTCCCGCTCTCCTCCTCGCCCTCCTCTTCCGCCCATCCTCCCGCTTCTCCCCCCCTGACCTCTTCTCTGCCTCCTCCTCCGCCCCGCCCCCCCTCCGCCAGTCCAGCGCTCCCCCCCCCGGAGGAGGAGGAGGAGGAGGAGGAGGAGGAGGAGGAGGAAAAGGAGGAGGAGGAGGAGGAAAATAAGGAGGAGGAGGCGGAGGAGGAGGAGGAGGAGGAGGAGGAGGGAGAGAAGATGTCAGGGGGGGGGAGAAGCGGGAGGATGGGCGGATGAGGAGTAACTGAGAGGTGCCCTGGCAGGCCCCCAAGACAATCCTAAGTTGCCACATTCTCAGAAACCATGGCACTCCCGACCATATCCTCGATGCGCTGGTGCCCAGCAACCCGGGCGCGGTGACGGGATAGCGTGGCAGCAGGAGGAGAAGGCTCATGTTTTAGCCTTGAGCCAGTTGGGTACGGAACGACTCCGAATTGCCCCGCTTCACGGGTTTTGGAAAAAACTCTACTAAACGCTGAGCCTAGTCAAGAAAC